AGAGCTTGTTCTCTTCACTTTATAAAAATAAGTTTTAGATCTAATAAATTCAGATAAGGTCCAATAAGTTTAATAAGGCCTAATAAGTTTATAAGGTCTACCAAGTTCAATAAGGTCTAATAAGTTCCAATAAGTTAAGTAAGATCTAATAAGTTCTAATCAAGTCTAATAACAAGGTTCAATAAGTTTCAATAAGGTCTAGTAAGTTCTAATAAGTTCAATCAGGTCTAATAAGTTCAATAAAATCTAATAAGTTTAATAAGGTCTAATAAGTTCAGATAAGTTTAATTAAATTTAGATAAGTTCAGGTCTAATAAGGTGAAGAGAACACAACATAAAAAGACTTAATTGGGAAAATACATGATCTAATTAACCAAATATCATCCATTATGTGTTTTGCCCACTCGTATTTACTACGATGCATCAAATATGTAATACTTCATACAAGTATGTTATTTACTACGATGCATCAAATATGTAATAATTCTAAAGGTCAGAAATATATGGTGCACCGTGCACATAGAATTGACGAGTATCATTACTATCTCTGTATCATATGATATGGCTTCCATTTTTTTTTTTCTTCTACTTTGAACTAAATGCCATTTAGATAAGGGCCATTTTAAACACTATTTCAAATTATGATTAAGTACTTGACAAACATTTATAGACATAAAAGAAAAGATAAACAGTGTTATTACTTTATATAAGTAGTATACCACATTACCACTATGTTTTTAAATAATTTAAGGGTTTTTATTTATTTATTTTTTATTTTTTTTTATGATGGGTATAATTTTAGCACTTCTTAACATGCATAATTTGCCAAATAGAACAATACTAATGAAATGAAAGGGAATAATATTTTAAAAACATTATACAATGAGGGAGGCAAATAGCTAATATCCAAAAAATAGAATTTGATGTCAACGTATAACAATAGGCATTAATTTATCGTCCAAGTCACGACCCGACCCAATACAAAACATAACAAGTCTAGGCTAATGATATGTGTTGAGTTTGATCCGTTGACAAGGTTGTCCATGCTTATCTTATTCAAAATAAATTTAGTAAGAATTTTTGTGGCGATACATTAGATATTAGTTACAGATGAAGAATTGAACAACTTGGTAATATAGCTAGAAGGCTCGAGAACGAACAAAAGAAACTACTCGCTAGCATGAATCGAAGAGACGAAGATGTTAGGAAATGATGGACTAAATTTTTCGTCTTTTAAGTAGGTAGTTAGAGAGTAAATGCACATTTTAAAAGATATAATTGTTTATACATTATTTACAAGAATTATCACAGACTTTTTAAAAGACAGTAAAATTTTTGGTTCTCTCACTTGCAAGTCTTGTGAATAATATCACCATCTAATTAAGGCTTTAAGTTGGTGCGTTTTATTGGGCTTTAATTACTCCAATTACCCTTATGATATTGATAGTTATGATTTATGAACTTCTTTAGCAGGCCCATAAAATACAGGAGGTGTAATTGATTGATGCAAATGTATGATTACAAGATGTCCAGCCCATGTCAACATCTGAAACTCATAAACCTCCACGGATGTAATCAAGTGCATTTATTCTGACTTAGAGGATAGATTATTAGACCTCATTACCCCTGATTTTTATGTTATATCATACGGAGTATGAGTATATATGTACTATACCAGTATACCACTATAGTCTAAACTTATTGGCTCCGATCAATTTTAATTAGCAGTAAAATACCTATTGGATCTGATCAATTTTAATTAGCAGTAAAATATACTACATACTTTTTTTGTTGACGTATTTCTATTATCACGTTTGCCAACGCTCAATTTTAACGATTAATATATCTAATTATTAATATTGCAAAATTATAAAAAGTGGACATTAATAAAATTTACATTGAGACGATTTAAACAAGATCTCACATTACTATGTATAACTATAAATCACAGAAGCTACTCAAAGTATAGATTGTAAATAGTACAAAAAAGTCAAAATATATCAACTTAAAAAATGGAGGAAGTATTTTTTTACGGTGATCTAACAAACTCTAAAGCAAAATTATCACAATACTAGCAAGTTGCAACACATTAAGGTTTTGTTTGGTTTGGCAAAAAATACTTTGTATGAATAGATTGTCATGGAAAACATATATACGAAGTACTTAGCATTTAAGTAAAATCACAATTATTGCAAAATATCTTTTCTTTGTTTGTTTACTTACAAGAAGCTATAGAGAAATTAATAGAAATTAGGTATTGGCCCGGACGATGCCCCGATACATTATAAATTTATAAATTTAGTTTTGATCGAAATTTAGTATTGATTGGAAGGTGATCGAAGTTGGATGAGAAGAAAGAAAAAAAAAAGAAGGAAAAGAGGTACGAAAAGTGATCGAAGTTGAATTTTGCATCATTGGACTTTTACACTATTAACACTCTTCTCTAACAATAATTTGTGATGTACTCCATATACATGTATGAATTTGTTAGATTTGTCACAAATTATCAATTTTTTAATTGGTGAAACTAATTCAAGGGTAATGTTATATGTAGCCCTTAGGCTACAAATAAACATTTAATATATTTTCTTTTTTGGTATAAGTTTAGGAATGTATGACAAAATCACGCGTAAATCAGTGTAATTAATGAATATATTTCATTAATATTTTCCTCTTTTAATTTCTTATACATAGTTTTTAGGGCTACATATAGCATTTTCGCTAATTCAATTAAAAATTATGTAAGTTTGGTAAATACAAGGCGAAAAAACAGGCCTTGCATACTATTTAACCAATTTGGCAATCCAAGTAAACTTAACTTATGGTCGTATTTAAAAAAACAAAAAGATATTCCGTACTCAGTGAATTTGAATGTGTGATGAAGAATTTGAAGATAATTCTCAGTGGCTAAAATTGAGAGCAGAAGAATGTTAAAAAGTTGAATTATTAATGCTTTGACAATCATTAAAGATTTAAAGGTTATTATGGAATTTTGGTCTGCCATCATTAATGTTCTAAACTACTCGTAATTTTTTTTTAATTATTAATGCTAGTCATTTTTTAAGTGATATTCCTTCAATCCTTCTTATTAATTTTTTATCCGCATCTCAATTTGGTAAGTTTTGCTATAGTTTCTCTTCAACGATAATTTTTACCTTTTGGAATGAGGATCCTTCTTTGAAAATTATTTGTATAAATTATAAATTACAGTTAATATTATTAAAATACACATGAAAACGGATTATCTCAGTTGATTATAATATTTATAAGTATATAAATCACATAACATAATTAAAGTGGAATATGTACAAAGTAGAAATGTCGTAAAAAAAAAAAAAGTAGGTGTATAATATTTTGATATGCAAAACAATACTAGTGTATAGTTTCTCCGTCCCCTCCTAGTTGCAACGTTAGCCTGTCCCGACATGACTTTTAAAATTTTAGCCCAAAATGAATTTGATCCAAATAAGCCCGCTATTTTTGGCTCGAAATAAAGGAATTAAACACTTATTTTTGCTCTGAACTTAGCCCGGCTTGAAGCCTTGACACGAAATAGGGCCAACTTTTTTGATCAAGGCCCATGATTAGCTGATTAGCTCTATTATGTATGAGGTAGATAGGTAGAGGAATTCCCACCTTTAAAGAGCCCCATAAATCTATAATGAGTTTGATCCTTTGACCCTGAAATCACGAGATCAATATGTTTACCAAAAAGCCAACCCTTACAAATCAAACTCATCTATAAGATACTTATGTATTGCTATAATCAAAGACATTCCCTCAGCCTTTTAAAGTTTACTCTATTTTCCTATCGAGTCGTTCCTAAACAATGCTCTAATTCCTTAGAATAAAAATAGTGTGGTCCCTACAATTCATCTCTACTTTATTTAATACCCCACATATTAAAAACCAAACATATTCATTAATCCAATACATACATCTCCTAAAAGTACAAATTATGGACACAACAATCTTTAAGAGACGAAGGGAGTATCAAAAAAGGTAAATTTCGCTTTAAGTCAATCCGACTACAATCGACCGGGCTTTAATATACCTAAGCAACTAGGCCTAACTCCCATCATCATAGATTCATTCATATGCTCAAACCTTGTGCAAAAAATGCAAAATTATAATCAATGAATGACAACTTAGCAACCAAAAACATACCATTTGGCCATATTATATCTACTCATTTAAAAAACCCATAATTATACAAATACAAGATCTTGCCTGCCAATTACCAAACTTTCATAAAATACCACCACATGAAAAAAAAAGTCTGCATTCTTCTTCTGACATTAATCCCAAAATTTTGCCTTTTTATTTTCTCTCTCCTAAAACTTTCATCATCCTCTGTTTTTTTGTTTTTCCAGACTCACTCTCTCTCCTCCATTGTTACACCTCATAAATCTCCATTTTTTCTCCTCTCTTCTCTGTAAATAATTTTCCACGTGTTCATCAAATTACCCATCTTTTATTATTATTTTTTTATTATTTTACCAAATTTTGTTGTTGATTTTTGCAGAAGAAGAGGAGAGAGAAATTTAGAGGGAGAAAATAAAAATAAAAAAGGGGAAGTCTAAGTGAATTCTCCTTTTCAGTCCACACTAAATAATATCCCCTTTTTTCTTTCTTTCTTCCCATGTGATTCTGATTGCTCCCATCTTATGAAATCATCATTTTCTTAACCCCTTTTTATATTTTTGTCTAATTTTTGATCCACCATTTTTAATTTATAATTATTATTATACTTTATTATACTCAATTACATTCTGGGTTCTTCTCGACTTTTGATTTTTCTGGGGTTGTTGTTGAATTCTTCTTGATTTGATCATTTTATCCAATTTTGCACCAAATTTGATAAATTTTGAAGAGGGGTTTGATTATTTAATTCTGGGTATTTTTTTAGCTGGATCGCAATTGATTGGATCTGGATTAGGGCTGGGTTTCATTGGAATTAATCGTTTTGGATCCGATTTTGGGGAAAACAGCGCCATCCCATGGCGCTGTTTCGTCGATTCTTCTATAGGAAGCCACCTGATCGGCTTCTCGAAATTTCTGAGCGAGTTTTCGGTTAGTTTTCTGAATTTAATGTTGGTTAATTATTTGTGCAATTGGTTATAATTTTCTGGGTTTGTTTGAATTATGGGTTTTGTTTAATGGGTTGGTTTTGATTTTCTGTTATAATGTGTGTAAGTGTTGAATTTTGTTGATCATTGAGCTGAAATGCTTCAATTTATGCTGAGTTTGATGCAATCTGAGGGGTTGTTAGGGTTAGATTTGGTTTCCATTTCTGGGTTTTTATGTCATTGTCATTTTTAGGTTGTTGGCATTTGACATTGTGATGTAGCTTGCATAATTGAGCTGGTTTTTTTCGCTTGCATTCGACTTCTTGAGATGATTTTCGTTGTTTTAGCTACGGAGAGCTGATTGTTAGGGTATATCTGCAGATATTAGAGGTTTTCTGTAACCTGAACTTCTAATGTAGTTATCATTTTAAAAGGCATTCAATAAGTGTAGGATTCTTGCTTCTCTGCTTAGAAGAGAATGAGGATTAGGAAACTTTATGAACTTAAGAACTTATACTTGGTTTCTCTTTAGTTGGCCTCTTTCTGTTAGTTGAGCATGTTCAATTGTTCTTTTACATTCAATTCTGCAAAAGGGTTTATCTTAAGCCGGGTTCGTTTGCAATGGTAAATTGGATCGTTGTTCCTTTTCAGTGTTTGATTGCTGCTTCTCCACGGATGTGTTGAATGAAGATGAGTACACAGAATACCTTGGTGGTATTGTAACACAGCTACAGGACTACTACCCAGATGCCTCATTTATGGTGTTTAACTTTAGAGAAGGGGATCGAAGGAGTCATATTGCTGATATATTGTCTGAGTATGATATGACGGTTATGGAATATCCTCGTCAATATGAGAAATGTCCTTTGCTTCCCCTGGAAATGGTTCACCACTTCCTGCGCTCCAGTGAGAGCTGGCTGTCATTGGAGGGACAGCAAAATGTATTGCTGATGCACTGTGAAAGAGGTGGCTGGCCTGTCCTTGCTTTTATGCTTGCAGGTCTTCTTTTATATAGAAAGAACTATTCCGGTGAGCAAAAAACACTTGAAATGGTCTACAAGCAGGCCTCGAGGGAACTACTTCAGCTTTTATCTCCTTTAAACCCACAACCTTCACAACAGAGATATCTTCAGTATATATCCCGAAGAAGTTTAGGCTCTGATTGGCCTCCTTCTGACACACCTCTCATTCTAGACTGTTTAATACTTAGAGTCCTTCCTTTGTTTGATGGGGGTAAAGGCTGCAGACCAGTAGTTCGTGTTTATGGGCAGGACCCTTTAACAAAATCTAGCAGAAGTACAAAGCTGTTATTTTCATCTTTAAAGACCAAAAAACAGGTTAACCACTATTCAGAGGTAAAGTCTTATATTTTTGCCCACTTAATTTCTGATATGAGATTTAGTAGCTTTAAAGACCTTATCTTTGGCTTATAATTGCAGACAGAGTGTCTCTTGGTAAAATTGGATATTCGTTGCCGTGTTCAAGGGGATGTGGTTTTGGAATGCGTCCATCTATTTGATGATTTAGCAAGGGAGGAAATTATGTTCAGAATTATGTTTCACTCTTCCTTTATTCGGTCAAACATTTTGTCTCTTAGCCGTGAAGAAGTCGATATCTCATGGGATGCAAAGGATCAATTTTCTAAAGACTTCAAAGCAGAGGTAAGTTGTAGTTGTCCTTTGAGATGCCTTTTCTTCCTCAAATGATGGGAGTTGAATGCATACTTATTATCTTTCTCAGGTACTCTTTTCGGACGTTGGAGCAGTTCCAGTTATAACCACTGAGCTAAAAAGTGATGATGACAATGAATTTGATAGTGCTTCACCAGAGGAATTTTTTGAAGCTGAAGAGATATTCAGTAATGCTGTTGATGCTCAAGATGGGAAGACTGATTTGGATTCTCCTTTAATTCATGATAGTTCTGCCAATGAAGTCGGTAATGGAGGACAGAAAGAGGATAGAGAGCCACCTGCATTTGTAGATTGTGCACCAGAAGCAGGTGCTCGTAGACGCAACTCAAAAGGACTATTGGAGCTTGAAGCAGTGAAGGATATAAGCCTGGATGATTGGAGTAAAACATTGCATCGCGATGTTGAGTCTGATCCTAATGCTGTCAAAGACATTCTCATGGATGATACAAATCAGAAAGAAGATGTTAAATGGGCTGTGGATGATATCATTTTGCATGAAGAGAAACATAAACATGAGGTACACTATGATCTGAATGAGGTGAAGGACATTGCTTTGGATGGTCAAGATAAAGAGGCAGACACGACGATTGTGGTTTCAGATGTGCTCATAAAGCAGGATATCAAGACTGATTTTGTAGATGACAACATGGTGGGGGAGCTGGATAGCAAACAAACTGTAGAGGACTGGGAAACAGAAAAGAGGTCAGATAGCAATAGTCCACAGCGAAAGTTGTGTGGTGATGCTACTAAGCTAAAACAAGAGAAAGTCTTGCAACCTTCACCCAAAAGGCCCCCTACATTTAACCAAAAGTCAGCTTCTGATTCTGCTTTGGGCAAGCACAGAGGAAAACAGCAAGAGGCAGCAGGGGATAAGTCTGGAAAGCAAAAACCAACTGAACATCGGTGGATACCTTCAAACAAAGGCTCCTACACCAATTCCATGCATGTGGCTTATCCATATGCCCGGGTAAACAGTGCACCACCTTCTCTAGGAAGTACAAAAAATCAAGTGAAGGACTCTGGTTCTGTTGGTAAATTGAAGGATCGTGCTGCCAGCACTGATCTTGGGTTTGTTGCTTCTAGTATCGATAGACGTCTGCATAAATTTCAGGATGTAAAGTCCGTAAAACCTGTCGAATCTGCAAAAGTTTCTCGCCTTGAAACTCCTGATGATGGGCTTAGCCAAGAAGTTTCTAGCCCTATATGCTCTCCTCGCTCAGATTCCTCATCTTTGGTTGATCCATCCTCTCACACTTCAGCCGAGTCTCATGAACTTAAAGAAGAAACAAATGCACCCTTACCCTTGCCTCCCCTATCTACTGTACAATCTTCATCATATATCCCAGCTGTAGAGGTTTTACCACTACAAAGACCTCCGCCACCTCCACCCCCACCTCCACCTCCACCACCACCTCTTGTAACTTCCTATGTCAATTTTAAACCGTCCTCTTCAATGCCTCCTCAACCATTGCCTCCTGATTCTGCTAAACAATGTGGAGTTACAACCATGCCTCAACTGGCACCACCCCCTCCACCACCACCTCCGCCTCCCCCTTATTCGAGAGTCGCACCTTCACCATCACCCCAAACGATCCCAGCAACTGCACCCCCACCGCCGCCACCGCCACCGCCACCTTCTAGTTCAAGTAGAATGTCGGCACCTTCTTTTTCACCCCCTCCACCTCCTGTATATGGTGCTCCTACTCCTTCCATCCGAGTAGCCACACCACCACCACCTCCACCTCCCCCTCCTGGACGCGAAATGCCATTCCCTTCCTATGGAGTGACTTCCTTACCGCCTTCTTATGGAGCCGCTCCACCTCCACCACCACCTTTCGGGGGTAAAGCCCCTTCCCCACCTCCTCAACCTCATGGGGGCCAGGCCCCTCCACCACCACCGCCACCGCCACCACTACCTTTCGGGGGTCGAGGCCCTCCCCCACCACCGCCAACTCCTGGGTGCCGAGCCCCTCCCCCACCACCGCCACCTCCCAGATCACCTACCCCACCACCACCACCACCACCACCGCTACCTCCTGGAGGCCGAGCCCCACCCCCTCCACCGCTACCTCCTGGAGGCCGAGCCCCACCCCCTCCTCCACCACCTCCTGGAGGCCGAGCCCCACCCCCACCTCCGCCACCTCCTGGTGGCCGAGCCCCACCCCCACCTCCTCCACCTCCTGGTGGCCGAGCCCCTCCCCCACCTCCGCCACCTCCAGGTGGCCGAGGCCCTCCCCCACCTCCACCTCCTCCCGGAGGCCGAGGGCCTCCCCCACCTCCTCCACCTCCCGGAGGCCGAGGGCCTCCCCCACCTCCCCCACCTCCTGGTGGAGGCCGAGGGCCTCCCCCACCTCCGCCACCTCCTGGTGGAGGTCGAGGCCCTCCCCCACCTCCTCCTCCAATGCGTCCAGGAGGACCACCTCCACCCCCTCCCCCTAGAGGTGGTGTTCCAGGTCCTCCTGCACCACCAAGACCTCCAGGAGGTGGACCACCACCGCCTCCGCCATTTGGTGCGAAAGCCGCTCCAGGTGTACCTAATGCGCCTCCAGCTCTGGGTAGGGGTCGTGGGCTGCCACGTTCAGCACCAGGAACTGCACCTAAAAAAACACCCCTTAAACCATTACATTGGAGCAAAGTGACGAGGGTCTTACAAGGGAGCCTTTGGGAAGAATTGCAAAGACAGGCAGGGTCCCAAATGTAGTGTATCTTTCTTTCTTTTCTTTTCTGCAATAGCATACATAGTATATATTTTCCTTCCATCATATATGTCAATTTTGCTTGCATGTTAATTGCCTTTTTGAGTTTTTCCATGGGTCATCATTATACAGCTCATAATCCTTTTTAAGTTTGAAGTTACTAGATGTCTATTTCTTACATGGGTTATCAATTTACTGCTCATAATATTTTTTCGGTTTGGAGTTACTAGATGTCTATTTCAATAATGGAACTTTTCTGTTTTATCTAGGGCTGGTGTATTTTTGTTACGTAAGCATTGATATCATTCTTTCGAATTTAGTGCTGCAGAATTTGACGTGTCAGAGATCGAGAAGCTTTTCTCTAATCAAGTGTCAAAGCCTGCAAGCGCGGGAGGGAAATCTGCTGAAAAGAAGAAGGCTGCTGGATCCAAATCTGAAGTTGTTCATCTGGTAATTCAGTAGAAATTTATATCCTTTAACTCATATGTACTTGTGAGGCTTTTTTTATTTATTTATTTTTTCTTTTTTTAATTTTTTAACCTGTATGCATTTGTATAGTTTTTATGTTTATGTTTCTGAAAGACTTGGTTATTAGCTAATATTCCTAGTAGGTTCACTTAACAATCCAGTATAGAGTTTGTGTTTTTATGTTTGTGTTCTCTAGTGGTAAGTGTATGAGCCTATAATGTCGATGTATATAGCATGTGAGAAGATATCACTTGCATTCAGGATATCAGATTTTGTTTTCTATGCCTACAGTTGCCTACTTTCTTTAGTACATGAATTGATGTTCTTAGAAAAAAATAAAATAAAAAAGATCCTAGCGATGTGTCATTGCTTGGTAAGATCTCCTTTGTTATCACTTGGGTAATATTAGTGTGTGTGTGTGTTTGCAAAATTATATCAGAGATGCATTTTTTAAGACCTCCAGTATGTGGGAGCACCTGTTATTTTATTTATTTATTTGTGCGAAAACATCTTTGAGATAAAAAATTTATGAAGACCTAGGCACAACTTCCCTGCAAAAAAGTCCAATGTCTGGCAAGTTGATGTGATTTCCTGTATTTTTGTTGATTGGTGTGAGCCTCTCATTCTATGTCTCTTTACTTTCTTTTCCTCTTTTTTTCATTTCCTCTATTCTCTTCCCTTAAGGTCCCCAACACTACAACTTCATTTTTGCACATGCAAACAACTTTCACAGGATCAAAATAAAAATAAATAAAAAATGCATATACTTATAAATGGATCACAAGAAAATAGTGAACCAAACCATTCAAACCTTTTAAAGAAGAGCATGTCAATTATAAGAAAGGGCGCTGATAATTGGAATCCATTTTGTGGATATTTTTCCACCACTTTGTTTGCTCATCATTTATAAATAAAAAATTTAAGGGAAAAAATTCAATTGCTTCAAAATGCAAACGAGCTTTAATTAATAGTGGGAGAAGTGGGGTTTTTGTTAAAAAGTTAGGCATTGAAGTTGACTGTTGACCAAGCCATCAATGGATATTTTGTAAAGTGGGAGGGGGAGGTTGTTTTTTCCCTTACATTTTTGGGTAAATGTGTGTTGCTGCTGATCAGTTTAGACCTTTTAGGCTGTTACCTCTTGCAATTCCATTCTGAAGGCTACTACAGGTCAATTGTCCAGCAAATTTGATTGTGGAGGTGGGTAAGAGAGATAATGGCGGGGGAGGGGGAGGAAATAGGAAATAAAGGAAGGGAAGTAAGAAAATAGAGATTGAGGTTCAGAGTTCCTGTTTCCATGAAAGAATATAATGGGGAAAGTTAACATCTTTGCCAGAAAGAAAACTAAGTCAGTTCTCTGGGAAATTGACCTCTTTTTTGTCGGAATGTCAGTTTAGATGCTACTTCACAAACTTTATTTTCTAGGGAAAAAAAATTATTAAAGGTACTTGTTCATAAAATAGAGGTCTGAAAAGGTGTTGCATGGCAAAGAAAAAAAAAAAAAAGCTGAAGACAACTAATGAGTGGTGGATCTTTCATTCTCCTTACAGTCTCTTGTTTAGAATACCTGTAATTACATAAACAAATCTTGCTGCTCAGAGTGCTCACTCCTGAAGTCTTAACTGGGATTCCCCTGTGCTTTATTAGTATCATTATCTGTAGCTATCAATCCTATCATGTTTCATAATAAATCAGCAATAGAGCTGCTGTTTTGTAGCATTGTGGTTGTAGACTAGTTCTTTTGTTATTGCGAGACTTTGTGAGGAGAATGATTTTTCCATCTTAATTACTAAGATATACTTTGTGTCTTCAAAGAAGTTGATCATATTTTATGTAAATGATCCCCTGATTTTGGGGATAGCGAGTTACACGTTTATATGCATGGAAAATGTTGTAGCCTTTTTTTTTCCCCATGAGCTCATTGGCCGTATAAACAAAACCAATATGAGAAATTACTTGCTTAATTTATCCCATTTTTAATAAACTTATTGCTTGTTTAGTCGATCCCGTTTTTCTGTATATAGTTATAAATTTTTTGACATGAAGCAAATGGGAAATAATTTTGACCGTCCTTATGGAAAATCAGAGGGAACTGAACAAATCTTCTAAGCATGGATTTGAATTTAAATGTGGATGTCATGGATAATTAACAAACATTAAGTCTGATGATCACAACATATAACTTTCTATATCCTTACACTTATTCATGTAAGAAGATAAAATGCAAGGGATTACTGTTGCTGCCAGGGTTCATTCGTAGTCTTGCACTGAATAGTACACCAGCCATATTTATGTTACCATGAGAAGGGGTTTTCAATCTTTGTGGTGCTCATGGTTATATGCGATGCTAGCTAGTTATGATTGCAATTTTTAATTTCTCAATTGTCTTAACCTTTTTGTACTTTGTTTGTTGCTTGAATTCAATCATATTTATATGTCTAAATGCTTGCTGCAGATTGATCTCAGAAGGGTTAACAACACGGAGATTATGCTTACAAAGGTTAAGATGCCACTCCCTGATATGATGGTATGCTAGAATTTTCTTCATATATATTGCCATTTAATTGAGTAATGAGGCAGCTTTTGTAACGGGTTTTCAAGCAGCAAGTCAATTTATGCACATATATTGAGAAAACCATGATCCACATTATTTAACTACTGTTGCCCAACTTTGATATATGTAAAGTATGCCCTTAAATCTATTTAAGATAATTGACTGTACACCTACGGACCTACCCTTATATATTGGTGTAAAGAGAGGATTTGCAAGTTGGTGATGAATTCTCTTAATATTTGTGAATGTATGTAGATATCTCGATGATAATTGACATTTATAGTGGAGTGGTTTTGATGTTTTCTTTGAATAATGGGATATCTTTCATTCTTGATATGTTCAGAAGAATCAGAACAGACTTGTTGTACAGAAGATAAAAAACATAGCAGTCCTTTTGTCCTTTGGATGTATAAATAGTTATTTTTTCTTATATTAAAAATGTTCTTTGACTTCAATTGACCTATTTTTAACCTCAAAGACATTGAAATGCAGTTATGAGTTGTGAACTTATGTTGGCTCTCAGTTTGATTATTCTTCTTGCACCATGACCACTATTTTTACAATTGTCAGATTAGTGAAATTGTGTTGCTAATCCTGCAAAAGCTACTAGAATTCTCCTGGAACTGCACTCTCTAGGAAAGCTTTTACTCAATGTTTGGGTATAGCTGTGAATCAATTTTGATGTAGATGAACTTTGATGTGATATCTTCAAACTAATATATGTTATAGGTTATACTGTTATACTCACCTTTTCTTTTAATATTAATGTGTGTGTGTGTGTTGTTAAAATTTCCATAGATGTTAAATATATTAATCCATGTTGCCATGTTGATTAAGGCGGATTTTGTGCACTACTTGCATCCTCTTGGTTTAGACAATGAAGATTTAATCTTGTTAGTTTCTTAACATTTTCACTTTTTTGAGAAGGTTATGTGGGGGGTAAATTCTGAAGGGATAAGCATTTACATTGTCTGTATTTATTCATGCCATGCTAAGTGTTAGTGCTGCCTAAATCTATTTTGCAGGCTGCAGTACTTGCGATGGATGAGTCAGTCTTGGATGCAGATCAGGTGGAAAACCTAATTAAGTTTTGTCCCACTAAAGAGGAGATGGACACTCTAAAGGTTAATTTTTGATCTTTGAACTAAAACTTTTATTGTTATGTTTCGTTGTTATTGCAGTTTGCAAGTCTTCTGCACCATTATCTTTGATTGGGAATGGGTTTCACATGCTTTAATAATTATTTCAGAGTAGTCCAAATAATTTTGCTGAATTTGTAGTTTTGACTTTCTTTCTATTGCTTTGTAGAACTACACTGGCGATAGAACAAAGCTGGGAAAATGTGAGCAGGTCTGTAACTATGCATTTCTGTTTGATTAATAAAACTTTTAATAGAACATTTCATGTATTGATCTTAATTACATCTGTGGATCTTTGCCTTCATATTGAAGATAAAATTAGTATTGCTCAATTGATTATAAGTTTCTTTTCATGGTCTTAGCTATCTTTTAATGATTTTCTCTTTCCTTATTTTATTATTCCCGAAGTCTGAGATATATGTGTACTCTGTATGTGACACTTGTGACTGTTGGTTTGCTTACTTTCTCTTCTTTATGTTTACAGTTTTTTTTGGAGCTCATGAAAGTGCCGCGGGTGGAGTCAAAATTACGAGTGTTTTTGTTCAAGATTCAGTTTAACACACAGGTACTTTTGTTTAGTGGGTTGCATTGTAATAGCACCATTTTGAGCACACATATCTGGCCTTGCTTGGTGTACCATACGGAAATGTGTCATTGTACCCCTTTCTTTTTGCAGGTTACAGATTTCAAAAAGAGTTTGAATACTGTAAATTCTGCATGTGACGAGGTACATTTCATTTACACAGATGCCACTTTTGTACTGTTTTAATGTATGTCCTGATCTCATCACTTGTGCTTTCTTATTTTCAATAGGTGCGAAATTCTAGGAAGTTGAAAGAGATCATGCAGTTGATTCTTAATCTAGGAAATTTATTAAATTCTGGAACTGCAAGAGGTATGAATACCAAGTTAGTAATGTGCTTCTCCATTAAGTTTTTACTACATTCTTACTTGATAGACATTTACTAGTTATACACTATCCTGGTTGATTTATCTCTCTGAAACTCATATTTTCTGCCTTTATCAAATGGTCAATATATGATCTGTATTAGAAGAATCATTTTCTTCTTTTTTCCCTTAGCAGGCCAAAGTAAAATCCTCCTGCTTTGGTCTAATTGGTGTGGAAAGAGTGGAAAATCTACACTTTTTTAGCCAGACTTTTAAGTGGCTGATTCCTAGACTTAGGAAGAGCTCTTTGCCAATTTCTAATTATGCTGCCTCTTGATCTGCAGTGTAACCTATGTGGGCTGTGTCCAGCAAAATTGGACTGATCTCTAATTTTAACTATTACCTATCAATCAGATTTGCGCCCAGATTTGGGTTGATTTCTGTGAGGCTTCTTGCTAATCATACTCCCCTCTCCATCTAGTTCACTAAGATAGTGCAGACATCTTTGCTGGATATGCATTACATTGTCAACATGGTTTCTGTCTCCATTAATATCCATTGTCAAATTAATACGGAGTAATAAGGATATTAGTTTACCATTATCTCTTGCTTATAATTTTAGTTGCTGCCTGACTGTTCTTCAAATATATTAACAAGTCTATGTACGTTTATCAATTGCCATAATCACAAGGGCAAGACTAGTTTTTTAGACGAGGCTGACTAAGCCCAAGCGACTTAACCTAAAATAAGGAAAATAACCCTAGCAAACTGTTTGATTTTTATTTGTCGAGTGATGAAACTTCTTTTGATATTTTGATTGATTATTCAAGTCTTCACATCTTATAGGATCTGCGGTTGGCTTCAAATTGGATAGTCTTTTGAAATTAACAGATACTCGTGCAACTAACAGCAGGATGACACTTATGCATTATCTTTGCAAGGTATGTCCTTACTTCTTTCCAAGGTTTTGATGTCTTTACTTGGAACAATTTGTCTTCTACTTGTTCATTGTGAAGTAGCCAGGCCTACTTCAATTGGTTGGAAAGGCTGTGTATATTTGATTCTCCAGTCCCCAGACAGGAGCCACGTGCACTGCATGTCGGCGTTGATTGTTTAGTTTTAGTTTGGATTACCAATTCAGCCTTTTTTTTTCTCTGATTGTAATGTTGTGTCCATTTTATCATGGTGTGTGTTCAATTATTGGGGGTGGGTGAAGGGATCTCATCTTATAATATCAAGCGTCAAATGATGGGAGCTATATATAAGCATTTATCCGAAACTAACGAATGAGATATTAAAATTAATCAGATAACAGTCTTAAGTAAAAAGTTCTCTTCCAGGGAATTCTATAAAAAGATTAATAGAGGTCAATCAATCACATGAAATATACTAATTTTTATATGTATTTAAAAAAAACTGTGCGTTGCAAGGGGTTAAATCTCGTGTTTTCTACATCGGGTTCTATGTGAAAACTTGTTATTTTATAGTCCTGTATCCTGTCTTTCTTTACAATTAGACACCTTTGCATATATTTTGTATCTCCTCTTGTTCGCCTTTGGAGTACTTGGATAAAGAAGCTGCAAAACATGCCCAAAAGAAGTGTATGTGATGCATATAGATTTAGGACCTCTTTGATTCTAGGGACTATTAATCTATTTTATTAGATCTAGATTTGACCAGGTGTTTTGATGGATTAAACTACAAACATCCAGAAACCTAATATGGTAAAAAATCTAATAAGTTTTAGATGCAGTGTTTGACTGTGCCTGTTGGATTGTTTATCTGGAATGCACCATTGAATGAAGTTCATCACTGTTGCTTTGAATCTGTTATTTGGATAGATTCATGCAGAATCGAGCTATGAGCTGGGCTTATTTTGTTGTTTCGTTTTTGCTTTGCTATCTTTTAAACTTAAAGATAGAACTCTTGGGGACATTGGAATCTATTCTTAGACATCCTGTGTGTTAGTGGCTAAATATGAAACCTTTGCGTCTGTTTTTTAATGTCTTAAGAGAATTTGATATTTTGCACAATTATAGCTTGAAGTCTACATAGAAAAATTGCATGTGTACATAAAGTGAAAATGCATGGGATCTGCACTGCCTGTTGAATGATTACTATAAACCCATGTAGCTGTATTTGATGACTATTAAAGCAATAATGTTGAAGGATTTTTAAGGTTTGGGAGAGTTTAGAACCCTTGAATTCTAGAGAGAATGTGTTAAATTCTCTGATCTATCATTTCTTCTTCTTCTCCTTTTAATTTCTAGTTTCCAGTTCATAATAGTTTCTATTTTTCAGTTTGTAGCAGAGAAGTTACCTGCACTGTTGGATTTTCATGAAGATCTTCTAAGCCTTGAAGCTGCAACAAAGGTTTTATTATTTTTCATTATGACAACTCTATGGTAAATAATTGATTATAGGCTGAGTTACAGCTTTTTTTTACAGATACAATTGAAGTCCTTGGCAGAAGAAATGCAGGCTATAAACAAAGGATTGGAAAAGGTTAAACAGGAGTTGTCTGCATCTGTTAATGATGGTCCTGTTTCTGAGGTTTTTTGCACGGTACGGATTTTGTTATGTGATGTTTGAAGTAACTGTCCTTCATGATATGACATCTGTTGCATCTCTCCAGTTGACTTTCTATCCCCATTATCCTTGGTACTTTAAGTTACCTTTATTGGGGGTGAATTCCTACTCCTTCCCTCTCTCCCCTAACTCTTCTTGTGAGGTTGTAACACTTGAAGTGTAGGACCTTTTTTGTTTTGACTTTGCAGTTTAGATTGGAAAATCCAAGAGCTCTGAGGAGATTCAAAATCCAAACCTTTGAAACACAACCTTAGTTTTACAATAATAATAGCTGGGACACAACATTTCTGCCAGTCGTGATATTCATGTCGTAAAATTAAGTTTGTTGATTTTGAACCTTTGAACCTTCTTGGTTCTGCCCACGAGTTAATAATTCATCGAACTATTTTTTTTGTGCTGTTTTTTGATGTTGAATTCAATGTTAAGAGATCACAGCTGTCGGGGAACTTTTGCTTCCATTCTAATGCTGTGAAATACGTTCGTTTCGAAATCCTCATTCATTTATTTTTTAATAATTTTATTGTTTATTCTTTATTTGATTTCATTTTTCTCGGGCAATTTCACATTACGATTAGTTTCTAGATACAATACAAGATTTTCTTGATTTCTTTCACTGCCAAATCAATTAAAAAAGAAGAAAATTTTGCGGTCATTTTATGTGAATAATACTTTCTACATCTTTATGTAGGTAAAATAATTGTCAAAAATATATTCGAACAGCAGCACCTTATTTTACTTTTCCAGTCAAAGTAGTCAAGTATCTGAAGATTGACTGATATTTCCCTCCTTTATACTTATATTTTTATTATTTATTTATTTATTTGATATTTTTCCCCTCCCTTTCATTCTTTCCTCTCCCCTTTTTTCTTTATAGTATTAACCTATATTTACAATTATTATTATTATAGACTCTGAAGGAATTTGTCGGTGTTGCTGAAGCAGAGGTGGAATCTGTGATGAGCCTTTACTCTATAGCGGTATTACTTTTTCTACTTTTATCTTCTCTATGGTGTACTGCATTCATGCTTTTCGTTCTTTTGTCTAACTTATTGTGAGACAGGGTAGAAATGCGGATGCACTAGCCTATTATTTTGGTGAAGATCCTGCTAAGTGTCCTTTCGAGCAAGGTATCATTGAAAGATTCTGTACTAGTGGTTATACCCTATTGCTTGTCCTAACTTATTGCTTGCTTGTTTAATTGTGTATGTCATTTGCATAAATACACTTTTAACATCTTAAGTACCATTTTTGAGCGAATCCTTTTCATTTTCACTCAACTACTCCAGGCCTGCAATTTGTGTTGAAGTAATATTATACCCATTTCATTGTTGCTTCAGACTGCAGTTCCCTGTATATTAGCACTTCCTTTCACCGTGACTGACTTTGAACATCTCATATTTTATAAATGTATACTACTTTCCGTAATTTTGCAATTTTTTTTTTGTCTATCACAGAAAAATTGTCTGGTTATCATATATAATTGCAAAGTTTCTTTTGTTTTCCACATAGTCTGATTGATTGTACCAGACTTGCAAATAGCAGTAATAAAAATCAAGTTAGCTCATGTATTTTCCCGTAACTGAATGCAGTTGCACAGACTCTGTTGAACTTCACAAGATTATTTCGGAAAGCACACGACGAAAATTGCAAACAGGCCGAATTGGACAAGAAAAAGGCCCAAAAAGAGGCTGAAATGGAGAAGGCAAAAGCAGCCAACCCATCAAAGAAGAGTGAAACGTAGTTGAAAGATGTCAGTTCTCTCTCGTGAAGCTCAGAGTTGCACCATGGATGTAAAGGCCTTGTGCAGTCTCAGTAACCCAAAAGCAACATCAAGCTTTTGTTGCCACCATTTGCAGTGATAGTGAAAGATGTTTCGAGGTGATGCAGAATGAGATCCAGTCCATCCAAGGCCTTGTGAAAGTTTTTGGACTTTTTGTCCACGAAAACCTCGAGTGTGTTCAAGATGGGATGCCATGCAGTCGGTCACATGTTTGTGGCCGATTGAATTTTCAGATGTATATCATATCATCACTGTACAGATACGCCCGTCCCTCCCAAGGGGTATTATCTCACCTTCAACTGCAAAAAAATGGTCTGTAAATTCCTGTTAAGAAGGAACGCCGGCAGATGATGCTCACTTACCAATTATCCTCCGAAGCAGATGCCATCAGGATGGTGACCTCCAATGCTCATCTTGTCTTCCTGTGTACCATGCGACCTTGTACAAAGCTCTAACCTGTAGGTAGGTAGGTGAAATTTTTTGTACCATAATATGTTTTGTCCCTAATTTTTTTTCTTCCCATATAATCAAATAGTTAGTGTTTAGGATAGGAGGTATAACAAACAGTTTTGTATAGAATTTTAGGGCCATAGAAAGGGAGTTTAGGAGGTGAGTGGTTTCAGTATTGTTCATCATCCTTCTATTTCATTCAATGTACGTAGTAATTGTAATATATTGAGAGTGTAGAGTTGGGAGATGGGAAATCCCTTGTTTCTCCCATTCAAATAATTAGCATTTCAGAAGCAGGATCGGTTTCTCTAATCTTCTATTAAGTGCGTGTTTTAATCTTAGTGGAATATTTGAATAAATCATACGTATATCTGCTCTTAAGGCCATTGTTGGCTTGTTGTAAAAGATCATTGGAAGTACGTAGTATTACAAACTTGAGAACTTATTGTCTGGTGCAAACAAAAGCCTTGTTTGTTCCTACTGAGATTATCTTGCTGAAACCAAGTTAGGCTGTGTAATGCTGAAACTGCGTTGGGTTGTGCCATGTTGAATACTAGCTCGGCCAGTGCCACCGCCACCGCCTGTTACACTTATAGTAACGTCGAAATTTATTATCGTAAATTTGTTTGATGCACAAAAGTCAGCTTCTAACCATTATTGCGACAATCAATCAAGCTGGGCTTTCTTGAAGAGAAAGATCCTGACTTAATCTATAGAATCAAGTAAGATATTTGAATATTGGTTAATGGGTTGTGATTGTATCGTATGAACTAGTAGTAGGGTCAACTACACCTAATTATCGGACCAATAATATCATGGTTGTTGATTTTATTAGAGTTAATGATGGTTTTTTATTTGCAAAACCATCATTAAATTAAGTAAGATGTAGAACTCTCACTTTTTAAGTAAGAGGTTACATGAAATATAAGAGGCTAACTCACCAAATAGTCATTTACAAAAAAAGAGTATTGTACTGTTTTACACGAATTAAGAAGTCGTTAAAGTGTAGATTGATTGATCGACAATAATTAATTTCTTATTTTTGTTCCATGAAATTCGAAAATGCTTAGGATCCATTACCCACTTTTTACTAAAATCAACCTTACTATTTTTATAATATGCTCTATTCAAATTCTTTTTTAGGCAAACATCTTTAATTTTATAAACGAAAGTCCTTTTCAATTAGATAGCTGTCTCAATTTTGAAAACAAAATTTGTGGTTAGGGGAAATCTTGCATTTCGTATGAGGCAATATTTATTTATCTATGGTATTATTGGAAACGACATTATTCAAGGATAAATTTCAATGTTTGGCACTAGAAGAAACAGTTTTTGTATGATAATCGGTTTATCACTTAAGATTTTTTTTATGCAACATTCGTTTTCGTGAGTTTTACTCGATTATTGTAGCAACAAAAATTAAAGAGAAAACAAATGGAGAACCATGTGTACTTTTGCTTTTAGAAAGAGAGAATAAGAGACTTGTTAAATACTTTGTACTTTGTTTAATTAGGTCACAAAAATTGAAAAAACAGATAACAAAATATGAATAAAAGGTTGTCATAAATGGAATAAAGTAAAGTAATAAACTTAGAAAAACAGATAAAATTAAAAAAATGAGTAGAACTTGAAAAGCATAGGAAATTCTACATTAGTATGGTTTTGGATGTACCTAGTCCATGCATATACGAGTGAAAAAGAAATATTGCCACTCTTATGGTCATAAAATAACGAATTAATTTTAAAAAAATATTATTTTTCAAAATTATGAAGCTATATTAATTCGTGGACAACGCATAATTCATCCCAAAGTTTAGTACGGAGCAAAACATAAATAACTAGGGTGCCATGTAACGTACTAACGTAGAATATAGTAAAAAAAAATAAAATCTATAAGATAGGGCAATAATCACATGAATTTGTCTCATGCAATTTATATCAATAAAGCCTAAATCTTTGCCCACATTACATTAAATAATTGTCTTAATTCATAATATATGATTGCTAAAAAGCCTAAAGTTTTGCTGTCAATGGCATTATTATACCATATCGAAGCTCTTTGTTGGCTTTTAATTGGAAAAAAAAAAAATCCCTTTATTCGTTTCTCAATAATAAACTTAAGTCCTATATCGTTGCTTCTAGTGTTATTTTTGCATATAATTCTCACTATTCTTTGATAAATTTATTATAACCGACAAACCGTCGGTATGATGCTATTGCTTGTCAAACATGAAATCAGCAATGCAAGAAATTATTTTAGGAGATTATGTTATGCAATTTGTCAATTTTGGTACGATATGCATTTAAGGCTAACTCATATGATCAAACAACAACTACTACGTTAAGTCATGGATCTACTACGGAGTACTATTTTTTTGCAGATACGTACATAAACTTTATATTTATTGTGAATAGTATATGGTCGTTCCATATTGGATTGTAAGTCACAAGTCAATTGGAATTGACTTTTCTGTTATTGCATAGATAAGATTGTGTACATCTGAACCTCTACATTTTTAGAAAGAGAGACTTCTAGAGGTCCTTAAGGGTTGTTAAGTATTTGCGTTTCTAGAGCAATCACAGCTCTAATTAAATCGTACATCTTACATTCGTCTTGACCATTAAAGTGGCCTATCCAAAGCATACTTATATACAAAGTATAAAACCATTACCAGCTCACATCCAAAGCATAACCTATGTCTTGAGCTTATGCAGTAAGCAGACAAAGGAATTACGAAGTAGTTATTAAGTCACAGAAGAAAGCATAATGCAACAATTTAAAACAAATTATATCATTGTGCTAATCCTTTTGATAATGACAGAAAGATTCTCAATCTCCCTGTAAATTTCCTCTGTTTTTGGATGAGACCTGTCATTATACACAAATTTACATGTTGATCCCCCTAGTTCCACCCAACTACATCCTACTTCTTTCTTCACATCCTGTTGTTTCATCGCCGTTCTAACGTTTTCAGATTCATCCCATAATCCCTTTGCAGCATATATATTCGATAAGAGCACGTTCATCTCTGCATTTGAAGGGCTAGTTTTCAGAATCTTTTGCGAAACTATCTCTCCAAGCTCAAAATTTCCGTGTAATTTACAATAGTTCAATAAGGTTTCCCAAGCATAAGATGGAGCATCTAATGGCATTTGCTCTACCAACTCATAAGCTTCATATAACATGCCAGATCTTCCAAACAGATCAACCATGCACGCATAATGCTCAGGCCTTGGACTAATATGCCACTCGCTTTCCATAGACATAAAATAATTTTGTCCTTCTTTAACTAGACCTTGATGCGCACAAACAGTCAAGAGGGCTAGAAATGTAACATGGTTAGGTTTACAGCCTGACTGAATCATAGAAGAGTGAAACTCGAGTGCCTGACCTACAGATCCATGGTATGCTTGAGCCACTATCATGGTGTTCCAAGTCACAGTATCTCGATAATCTATGCTTCTGAACAAGGTGGCAGCATCATTTATCAGCCCACATTTAGAATACATAGATATAAGTGAACTAGAAACCAATACATCATGCACATAACTAGTTTTAATTGTTTGTAGATGGAGTGCTTTACCCCAACCATGTAGAGCAAGTGAACCGCATATAGACACAGTGGTTATGTACGTCGTTTGATCAGGCCTAAATTCTCGTCTTTTCATTTCAGAAAACAAGTACAAAGCTTCCTCTGTTTGAATCCCAGAAATCAATGTATTCCAAGAAGCTGTATCTCTCTGATTCATAATATTTTCGAAGAAGTTTTGAGCATTTATTATATCTCCCTCTAGGACAAACCCATATAGTATTGAATTTGATGAAATGATATTCCTCTTTGGCATCCTCCTATACAAATCCAAAGCCTCTTTTAATCTACCATTTTCAACAAACCCGCTTATCATACAGTTCCAAGCAACAATGTCCTTATGTGGCATCGTTTGGAATAATTCCAAACCCTCGTCTACCATGCCATTTTGCATATAACCTCGGATCATAGCAGTCCAAGCTTGTGCATCCTTTTCGAAAGGAATATCACCAAATAAGGCCTTCGCCTCGTTCATTAACCCTGCTTTTGCAAAACAAGTTAGCATACTAGTCCACGAAGCCAAATCACGCTCAGGCATGCTTAAGAATAACTCATACGCCTCTTCAACACATCCCAATTGAACATAACCATTCAGCATTCTATTACAAATACCAACATTTCGATTATGACATTGGTCAAATAATTCTCTAGCCTCATCTATTCTTCCATTTTTTATATACCCATTTAACATTACATCCCAACAAACATGATTTTTCAATTTATCTGGTATCTGATCAAACAAAATTCGCGCTTCTTCCAACTTAGCACACCCAGTATACCCACTTAACATTGCAGTCCATGAAACAACATTCTTAGCAGGCATAACATCAAACATACGACGAGCTTCATTAATCATAAGATTTCTACCAAACCCAGAAATCATACAGTTCCAAGTCACCACATTTCTGTGCGGCATTTCATCGAACAGTTTGCGTGCAGAGTCAATATCTCCATTTTTAAAGCAAGAAGTAATATTTGTGTTACATGAAAATGTATCATGATTTCTTGATAAGATAATTGAATTATTCCTGAAACTGCGAAAGAAACCATTTCTTGTTGACGTTCTTGTAAAGTACCGAAAATTTGAAAACATAGTAACTGGAAATGTGTTTCAGAAGAACTGTAACTTCCATGTGTAAATACAAAGAGACGACTTCATAAAACTATAGTTTGACTGTATGAGTATAATTTTATGTGGATTATACGAGTAATAGATACAAGTACATTTCTTGGAGTAGATGGTTTACCAACATTACTTGATCTTGGTTAATAAAGAATTAAAGAGCAAGGATGTTAGTCCATCACTTTATTTGTTGCTTATGGTACAATTGATATTGTACACATGTTTGACCCGAGGTTCAAAGAAAAGGTGACGGGGTAATGTGACAAATGAGTTTAAAACTTATCGAACGGACTATAATACTATGGAATGCGGAGTATTATGAAGTATTTTATATATTTTCTTTTTGTAGGAGCAAGCGTGTCATTATCGAATGATAGTTTGACATCTGTCAAGATTGGGAAACAATTTTAATTTTCTCAATCGAATGATAGTTTGACTTTTGTCAAGATTGAGAAAACAATATTTCATTAATTTTGTCAAATTGCAATAGTGTGATTTTTGCCTAACTACTTAATTACGTTGAATATTACTCTGTATTATGTAAAGGTGTTTTGAGTTGGTCTAAATTTATATATTTATTATATGGTATCAAATCTTCATAATTTTAACTAATAAATGTCAATGATTTCAATAGTAAAAGATGCACATTAACAAACGTGATTGTCAAATTGTTATTGTTAAGAAAACAATTGAATTACTCTACATCATATTTATTATGTATCCTATTAACTCGATCGAGAAGGTTAAAAAATGACAAAATTCAGTAATTTCCTATCACCTCTTCAGCCTTAAGAATGCCACAACTCAATACTTATGGAATTTTTTTGTAAAACACTTCAACATAAAAAGGTAGCACATTATGTTCATGTACCTAAATTAGTTACATAGCTAAGCTAACTAACCCAAATAAAAAGGTTAAGTATCCCTTCAAAATTCCGCTGAAAGGGGTATGTATAGTGTGATTGCATAAAGTACCCAACTATAACAGCCTTGTAATTCACTCAACCAACCTCCACCTTATTTCCATTAAAAGCCAAAAACTTTAAAAATATTAATTTAAAAAAAAACAAAAAAATAATAATGAAATTTAGTATGACCCACAATTTTTGCTAAACATGGCAATTATGAACCATCACACACCTGAGATGAAACTTCACATGTTAATATCAAGAATTTTATGACAAATTCCTTTTTACCAACCTTTCTATTCTTAATCAACCTACTCTTAATTATTAGGTGAAATCTCACTTCTTAATTAATTTTTCTTAACAAAGCCATTAAGAATAATTAAGAGATCGTGCACTATTTTTAAACTTAATTTTTAAGCAAGTCAAACTAGCCATCATGATACCCTCAACTCCAAGAAACATTGGATTAAATTCTTAATTTTTTTTTTCTAAGTGTATAAGAGCTACAAAAGCAACTAGTAAGGTATATGAAATTTGATCCCAACTCTTAAGTTCTTCGTACTAGTTAGCACTTTTAAAAATTTACCAGCTAAATTATCGATACATATAATTAAATTTGTAACAACTGGGCACGAAAATCATTCTTAATTGGGTGCACAAAGGAAACTTGTATTGTAATATGAAAATCAATAATTTCATTGAATTGATGACTTTTATCATCTTTGCATCTCTTTTTGTATCAAATACTCTACCCTTTTTTTTCCACTTTAATCTCTCTGTACAAAATGCTCTCTTTTCAATTGGACAACAATGCTTAAAAAAAATGTAAGATCTAACCTTTTTTTTTTCTTGAATCAAATATTAAAAACTTACACAAATTCCTCCAATCCTTTCAACTTTTCCTCATTATAATCATAATAACAATAATCATCATCAACTTCTGTCACGCTAGCATCTTGATCATTGACAACATACCCTTGAACAACTTGTTGAATATAACGTTGATCGTTTTTGCAACATTGATAGAACACACAACTCATGATGACATCGAGAACAACGAGGATGGAGTATATGTAAGCGATTAGCACCCCCTCGAAGGCCACGAGCCATAACGAGGTACTATTAATGGGGTGTTGAGCTGTTGCGATTATTCTGAAATGAAATAAGGCCTCCACTGCGGCGAGGCCTAAATTAGTAGGCACGGCTAAGGCCAGCGCAGTGGAGGTCTTACCCCGAATTGAAACACAAGCTTTTAGTATAGATAAAAACCCACCCCTTCTTTCTATTCCTGATGAAACCAATGCCAAGTTACACACAACAAAAGAATTCGCGAGAATTATTGAGTAAAACACCGCGCCAAGAGCTGATAAGAAGAGCACCCATCTCGGGGAGTCGAGTTGGAAACCTTCTAGGAAGTTGAATGCCAAGAAAAGCAGAGAAAAACACGTTGCATTCGCAGCGAAAATGATAAAAGTGTTGCAAAGATGTGTAGAGAGAATAGGGTGGTAAAGGGCTATAAATGATGAAGATGAATTATTATTTGTAGTTTTTTTGTAGGAAAAAAAGTGTATAATTGAGGCTTTGGCTAATAAAAGAAAAGAAAGTGTAAAAGGAAGGGTGACTATTGAAGAGGAAATGGTTTGAGAGAGTTTAAGGCTAAGGAGAGTGAAAAAATCAGAGTAAGGGGGGAAACCGGCGGCGAGGAAGACCGAGTGAAGGCGGCCATAGACAGTGGGGAGGAGCGCAAATGAGCGAGGCACGATAGCTAAGGAGATGAGGACGGAGATAGAGAATGGTAGAGCAATGAAGGCAGCTACAGAGGTGAAAAATTGGTAGTGTTGTAAAAAAGTATAGATTGATTTTCTAATGATTTTTGCAGCTCTTGCCATTGAGATTGATGGATTTTCTTCCATGGAAAATTATAATTTTTTGAGGTGATTTATAAAGAGAAGTTGTTATCTAAAGAATGTGATGTGAAAATGAAGCGAAAATGATGTTGATGTTAGCTTAAGATTTTTTCAAGTTATTTGTATTTTTGTTGGTACTATTTATTTCCTCTGTTTTTTTCTTTCTTTCTTTTTGCTCTGTTTTTTTGGGGTGTAAGGAAGGAAGTTAGATGAAGAAATAAGCAAAGGGGGTTTGATGTTTGTTCCCTTTAATAATATGCAAATGATGGGAGTTCCTCTCTCTAGTTTTGGGTTTATTTTCTCTCTCTAAAAATGTTGGTGGTAGTTTGGAAGGGGTGTTTGGAAAATGGTGGTTTAGGATGAATGGATAGGCCAACAACTAGAGACTGACATACTATTAGAGGAGGAGGTGGATTGGAATTAGAGTTGGTTTTATTAAATAAGGTGTTTTTTTTTCCCTAAATATATATCGTATAAATTTTCAGTTATTCTTTAAATTGTAACATTTAGTACTTTACACTAATGTAAAGTGCAAGATTATTATAAACTTTATTCTCCGTAATATATGTATATCTTTTCACAGATTTTATGTATGTCAAAGAGGGGATATATTCAAATATTATAAATGTGCTAATTCGTGGCTTTATTTGAAAAAATTAGCACAATATGTATTTTTTTAGTTCAAAATAATCATCACGTACGAACTATTTTTTTTTTTTGGAAATATTGATTGTTTAATATTAAAAGTATAATTGTTTTTTTATTAGGAAAAAAAGTTATGTTAATGTATTAATGGTATACATACATTGCAGAGTATATTCAATCATTTTGACTTTTGACATGATTTGACCATTATCATAATTCCATTTCTAATTCTAAGAATCCATGTATACAATAAGCCTAGTTAGTCACATGTATAATATGTTCACAAGCTCAATTCTCGATCTCTATTTGTAATTAGTATTGCTCTTGTGATTTTTGAGGAGGAAAAAAAAAATATATATATATATATATATATATATATATTTTTTTTTTTTTTTGGGCACTACTTAAGCCAAAGGTTAGTTGAGTGGCTCTTTATGGTTATTACAGTTTTATAGTTTAGTTTCCAAGAAATGAACAAATATGTGAAATTGACTTTCTGCTTACTCTAAAGAACTTTGCTAATAATTCGAAGTTGCAGCGCATGTTCGAGCTATGTATTATTATGAATCAACATTATTGTAGCCCATTATTATGACATAAAAACTTGGACTGTAAGCATGGTTAAACTATGTTTTTCTTCATGATTATGATATTTTTAATTGCATAATTATGAATTTATGATCATCAAATGCAACAACGACATATGAGTTAACATTAGGTTTGAGCCATTTTTGGATTAAGAGTTTAATTAAGAGCTTAATTTTTTTGTAGTTTATTTTTGAATTTATGGCCTACCATATTCATTGGAAATGGACTAACCTTTACTTGCAAGAAAAACAAAAATAATAGATGTATGTAATATACTACCTCCGTTTTTATTTAGTTGACACCTTTCTTTTATCACGCTTATCAACGCACTACTTTAACGATTAATATAACTAATTTTCGATATTGTAAAATTATAAAAAGTGGATATTAATAAATATACATTGAGACGGTTCAAACAAGATCCCACTTTACTATGTTTTATCGTAGTTATAGATCACAAATGCTAGTCAAAGTATTGTTTATGAATAGCGTAAAAGTCAAACGGTGTCAACTAAATAAAAACGAAAGAAGTAGCTTTTTACAAGGCGACAAGCAATGTATAAGAATTTTAATGGAAAATTAGATTTTAAAAAAATGAATATTGAATCATGTACAATCTATTCACTACAGTTAGTCAACCAATACTTTAGGGGAAGAAAATAGTAAAAGTCAACCCACTTCAAAAATTAGAAATATATTACTCCTTCCAGGCCACTCCCTTTGAATTTCACTACTTTAATGAAAATTTTCTTATTTATTTATTTATCTATTTATTTATGACAAAGAAAATCCTCTATTTATTCCCTAAATAATTTTTTTTCCAAGGAAAAATAAAATCCATATCTTTAAACAACTTTCCTTAATATTCTCTTAATTTAATAAATAGAATCAAAATTAGTATGATACAGTCAATTTACTTGTTATGACTAGCATTAATTCCAAATTATAATGTACAAGTTCATGTGATCCATTACTAAGTACATTGCTGAATTTGCTAACACATTTGAGCTGTCTCATTAATATTTTTGGATATAGCTAATCTACTTAACAAGTGGCTAACTTTACCAGGAATAATTTTCTAACCAGTGCACAATTTTTCAAGAACTTTTTGGTAGGTTCCAAAATTAAAATTATAAAAAAAATCACGGTTATTTATTTATTTATTTATTTTATATAGTAAAATAAAGAAAAACCTTTTACAAAAACTTATAAGTAGAAGAACAATGAATATAAAGGGGCTATAGTTCATTTCAAATAATTAAGATATGCAAATTGTAATAATAAGACAAACAAAGTAATTGTTGCTCATACAAAAGACATGCATTAAGATAATAGAATGATAGAGTTGTGTTTGATGTTGATAGGACTTTAAGATAAGAGAATAATAGAGTTTAACAACTAGTTATTAATTGCACATAAATAATGGTATTGTGTTCAAAAATATGAATTGAAAATTTTGAAATATTCATATATGCATGACATTTAAAAATTGAGGGATTAAACATACACCACATTCTCTTTTACACATAAAGTATAATTTTACAAAAATCTCACTTATTTATTTCAATGAAATTATATGTTACGAATAATATTTTTCTTGTAACTATTTTTGAAACTCAATTCTTTAATAATATAACCTTCATAACAAATTAAATTCTTAAATGTAATAATTAATTGATGAGGTAATGTACGTTTATTATCCTCTATGATCCCCTAGATTGAATTGATTCCATATTAAATGTTCCATATACAAGAACAATGATTTAAACGAGATTTAATTACAAGTCACCAGTATTATATTTACAGTTGAACAATAGTACCCAGTGGCGTCACCAGGATTTTCGAAGTGTGGGTTCGAAACTTCCGAAATTTGAAATCATAATTAACAAAGGAATAAAAATACAATAATTAAATATTCAGTACATAAATAATTTCAAACTATGGATTACAAATAGATTACACATAGAAAAATGAAAAAAAAAAAAAAAAAGACTACAGAAGCATTCTTCGAGTCTTCATACTTTGGAAGCGTTCCAATACATCATCATCACTAACTCTTGAAAATAAATCTCTTTCAAGAAAAGTGACTAAATTATCATTCAATAGTTGATCACCCATACTATTTCGCAACTTATTTTTTACGTATGTCATTGAGGAAAACACTCGTTCCACGCTTGCAGTTGCAACCGGAAGGATCAATGCTAGTCTTATAAGCAAGTAAACTAAGTTGTAAGTAGTATGCTTATTTGTTTCAACAAGCATCATAGAAAGCTCATGAATACCCTTCAAGTCTCCAAACCTTGCATCTTGGCGCACATCATTAATATAAAATTGAAGCTCATGACGAAGTGCAGTCATCGTCATATCATTAGTTGGAAACTCTTTGGGATATAACTCAGCAAGTCTCAACAACTTTTGCATATCAAATGCCGCAAATGAATTGATCGGGTTTAAGCATGACACACAAATAAGTAACTCCATATTTTCTTCATCAAATCTACTATTGAGCTCTTGGAGTTGTAAATCAATAACACTTATAAACATTTCTACCCGAAATCGATGAAGATTTGAAACTTTGGCAAAGAAGCGTCTTGACCTTCCACGAGGAACATACATATCATCCATAGTAGGAACTTCTACATCATGTTTAACACAAAAACAAACCACAAGATGTAAAAAGTCTTCCCACCCATGGTCCCTCATTTGTTGTAATCCCTCCTTAGTCAATTTAACATATGTCATGGCATTAACAATATCTTGGTCCCCCTTTTGCAGAGCTTGACACAATTTATCAGTAATCCCAAATATTTCGGACATCAAATGTATCATAAATACAAATTCAAATGATTCAAATGTAGACATGACAGTGATAGCCTTCACGCGATCATCCTTATAAATCTTATTTGATCCAATCTTCTCAAGAACTTTAACAATAGTAGCATACAATGCGGTAACATTTGAAACAGTTTTGTAATGTGATCCCCACCTAGTATCACCAGGCCTACCTAAGCTATGTTCTTGGTTTAAACCTTGCCCACTTTCAATTTCTCCTAGTTCTAATGCTTGTAGAATATGTTGAGATTGTATTTCTCTTATCATTTCCCTTCGCTTACAAGAAACACCAATAATATTCAACAAAATAGCAAGTTGATCAAACAACCAAATACAATCATCATTATCCTTAGCAACAGCAACAAGGGTTAATTGAAGTTGGTGAGCAAAACAATGAATATAATAGGCTTGTTTTGTTTCATTCATGATCAAAGTCTTGAGACCATTTATCTCCCCCCTCATATTACTAGCACCGTCATAACCTTGTCCACGAACTCTAGACAAACTCAATGAATATTCCATAAGCAAAGACTCAATTGCACTCTTTAGTGACAAAGCAGTAGTATCCTTAACATGTACAATTCCAAGAAACCTCTCATTTATCTTCCCTTTATTATTGACATAACGCAAGCAAAGGGCCATTTGTTCCTTTTGAGATACATCACTAGATTCATCAGCCAGTATTCCAAAATAGTCATCCCCAATATCATCAATAAGAAGTCTAGTGGTTTCTTTGGCACAACAATTAATAAGTTCTTTTTGAATTAAAGGACTAGTCATTCGATTATTTCCCGGGGCATTACCTAGAACAACCTTTGCTACCTCACTATTATTTTCTGAAAACCATGTTAAGAGTGCAAGAAAATTACCCCTATTCCAAGATTCTTCACTTTCATTATGCCCACGACAAGCTAAACCTTGATTTAAAAGAAATCTAATACATTTCAATGAATAAGTCAAGCGAGATTTGTATTGTAGTTTAGCTTCCTTAGAATAAGTGCAAAGAGATTCAGCAACTGATGTCTTTGGGTTGATAAACATACTATATTTCTCATTAGCCTGATTATGGAAACTACCAATACCACCCACATGAACATCAAATCTACCAGTCTTATTCCATCCTCTAAATCCCCCTTTAATAAAGGAATCATTAACAGCCAAAGAATAATCAACTTTATCAGTGAACAAATAGCACACAAAACAAAAAGCCGCATCTTTCTCAACACTATATTCAAGCCACTCATATTTATCAAACCAAGTAACATTAAAACGGCGCATACCTCCAACTTTTCTTTGAGGAAAATTATGTGTGCGTGGATCACAACGTTTCTTTGTAATATAGCCTCTCCTTACGGCATCTCGATCATTAGGAGGATACTCCATAACTGGAATTCTTTTTCCAGGGTCATGTGGAAGAAGATCAACATCATAAATGCGAGTATCATCGGAGTCAACAGTAGTATTAGTGTTCTCAGGTGGTGGAATTGTTGCAGCAATAGGAACCTCATCATCATTAGGAGACACATGTTCTTCTATTGGAGGATCCCTTGAACTAGGTGAAGAACAAGTTGAAGACTTTTGTGACTTCCCGGCACGTTTCCAAAATGACTCTAAACTCATGGTATAATAGGTATATGCTGCTAGTCTGCTGCACACACATGATAAATGCAGAATGAAATCAATGAAATAATGAATGAATGATATATC